ACCTGCTGCTACTGAGTATTAGTGCTGAAGGAACAAACATTTGTGCATGTGATGCCAATCAAATGGGCTGCTTTATCCTCAATGGTGTCAACCTTAGTTGAAGCTGCAGTCATCCACACAAGTGTGGAATATTCTATCACATTCCTGATTTGTACCTTGTAGATGGTGGCCAGGCTCTGGGGAGTCAGGTGGTAAATTACTTGCTGCAGGATGCCCAGCTTCTTACCTGCTCTGGTACCCACTATATTTATAGATATTGATACTTTCATTATTTTATTTTTTTATCATTTTTGGTTGGAAGCTGTGAACTGTGAGCTCTAGGGAACCTTTGGACTGTAAACAGCAGCTCTTTTTTATAATAGCTTATGAAGCCAACTATCATATTGATTCTTTTTCAAATTACTCTATAGACACTTGGGTTCTGGAGATGTGTTGTGCTCAAACATATGGCAGATGTTTGGATATTAATTGGCAAAATCAGTCTAACAAAGAATGAAATTAAAACCTAATGTTTGAATTGGTTTTTGAACTGCATTTAAGTCAAAAGCAGCGAGCCTGTGAAAGCTCCAGGAAGGAGATTTCATTGCTCCCTGGTTATCCTCTCATTATCAACTTATTGAAAGTTCAGAGAATTGAATCTGATTTATAAGTATTAAGTGAATAGTCCTCAGAGTCTACTGGAAGGTAGTTATAAGCATTGGTGTATTCAGAAACTGAACAAGATTCTGTCTCATGTGCCTGTGATGTCATGGATCATGAAGTCTGCTCAGATGAAATTGGCCAGTTACATCTCATTTTGTTTCTATTTTGATTTATTTCTTAACTTTTAGTCTGTCCTTATGTGTGGAGTGGTGGTGGGGGGGCAGGGTGCTAGATTCAAAGAAGATTAAATCATGGATGTTAATTACATTATCTTGTAGTTTAACTTTGCTCTAATAGAGCTATTGTATTATTAATAGAACATAGAACTGTACAGGACAGGAATGGGCGCTTCAGCCCACAGTGTTTTGGCGAATATAATGCCAAATTAAACTAGCACAAACTTGAAACAACCACAACCCCTTCAAGGTGACCGTTTGAGGTATATTACCTTTGACTCTGGTAATGTGGTTAGGGTTAGGGGTTGTTGCCAGATTAAACTATTCCCTTTTGCTTGCCCTTGGTCCTTATCCCTCCATTTCTTGCACATTCACGTGCTTATCTAAAAGTCCCTTCAACATCCCAATTGTAGCTGCCTTTACCACTGCCCCTGGCAGTGCGTTCCAGACTCCTACCATACTCTGTGTAAAAAAAAACTTTCCCCACCCATCTCCTTTGAACTTTTTCCCTTTCACCTTAAATGTATGCCCCGTAGTTGTAGACATTTCAACTCTGGGGAAAAAAGATTCTGACTGTCAACCCTATCTATACATCTCATAATTTTAATACACTTCTATCAAATCTCCCCTCAGCCTCCGCCACTCCAGAGAAAACAACCCGAGTGTTTCTAGCCTCTCCTTATAGCTCACATCCTCTAATTAAGGCAGCATCCTGGACAACATCTTCTGCACCCTCTCTGAAGCCTCCACATCCAGAATTGAACACAATACTCCAAGTGTGGCCCTACCAAAGTCTTATAAAGCTGCAATATGGCATCCTGACTCTTGTACTCAATTCTCCACCAATAACGGCAAGCATGCCATACACCTTCTTTACTACCCTATCTACTTGCGTGGCTACTTTCAGGAAGCTATGGACTTGAACCCCAAGATCCTTCTGTACACTAAGATGATTGATCTCCAAAAACCACAACCATCTTCCTTTGCACCAGATATGACTCCAAATAGCAGAGGGTTTTCTTCTGATTCCCATTGACTGCAGTTTTGCTTGGGATGCTTGATGCCACACATGATAAAATGCAGCCTTGATGTTGAGGACAGTCACTCTCACCTCACCTGCTGCATTCAGCTCATTACAGCCTTAGTTCAAACTTGGTCAAAAGAGATCAGAGCTGAGTGTGCAGTGCTATCCATTTGCTTAATTGCAGCTCCTACAATACTCAAGAAGGTGACAGTATTCAAGGTGAAGCAGTCCTTTTGATTGGCACCCCATCTATCACCTTCAAGATTAACTCCCTCAACCACCAAACAGTGACAGCAGTGTGTACCATCTATAGGACACACGGTAGCAACTCACCAAGGCCGCTCTGACACCATGTACCACACTCCTGTTCTCTATCACTTAGAAGAAGGGCAGCAGATGCATGGGAACATCACCACTGACAAAATCCCTTACCAATTTGACTTAGAGCTATCTCCTCCACCTTGCTGGGTCAAAATGCTGGAATTCCCTTCCTAGCAGCATTGTGGGTGTACTTAATCCCCAAGTACTGCAGCAGTTTAAGAAGGTCATATATCTATTATTTCAGCTGTCACTTATTTTTTCAACACCATAGGACAAAGTCCATTGTGGCCAGTGGACTTGTCAGATTCTAGTTCTAATGATTTTCTTAGGAGCTGCTGCCTTCACTAATAATTTTAATACCATTTGTTCCATTATTCCATGGGTTAAACGTAAAAAAAACTACCCAAGGCCCAATATACTGTCTCCATATTAGATTTATAATGAAAAGATCAGCCAGGTTTCTTTAATATACACAAACATTATCAATTTATTACAAAACAATACTCAATGAAGATGCAGAATAGGTTCACACACAATATGAAAGATTAAAATATAAATTTTTACCCTTTTTAGTAACCCAAAACACACAAACACATCAGGTAAAGGGGGAAAATGATCTTTCTGCAGAGATTCACTTTAAAGAGAAAAACATTATGGCCAATGGTGGTCATACCTTGAAGGAAAAAAGGGCAAGGCACAAAATATTTCAAAGTCTTTCAATCTGGTGTTCTTGCACAGATGGTCAAGTTACGAATTGTGCATTATTGTCTCTGGGGTTTTGCAGACACAGTTTGCTTAGGAAATAACATTAAGAAGTTCTTCAGTCACTCCTTCAGAACAGCTATCACGTTTTAACTGAATTCACCACAAAGGTCATTCAGAAACAGGGAACACCAGCTGAACTAGTTATTTCTTAGCAAGCTCTTCCCAGTTAAAATCCAAACAAAATCAATTCTAAGCCACAAGATAGATATTGACACTTTCATTATTTTGATAAACAAGATACCTATAAAACTCAGGTAAGTGACATCTGAAAAGAACATGTAATTATTTGAAGTCATAGTTTCCAACACACCTTGTTAAAAAAGAAAATCACCATCCAAGGGCCTTTCAGTGATTTTTCTTTAAAAACTAATCCAGGTGTTCACATATAACCTGAAGTAGATTCATTTTTCCATAATCCTTCAAAACTCAAGTCCTCAATGAAGTGTTTTCATAATATTGAGATTGTTTCAAGTTCCACTCTCCCTTTCATCTTCTGATTCCATAAGAACATCAAATGTAGGAGCAGAATTGGTCATTCAGCCCATCAAGTATGCTTAGCCATTCAATCATGGCTGATATTTCTCTCAGCCCCACTGTCGTGCCTTCTCCCTGTAACCTCTGATCCCCTTATCAATCAAGAACCTATCTCTGTCTTAATCACACTCAATGACTTGATCTCCACAGCCTTCTGTGAAAATGAGTTTCACAGAATAACCACCCTCTGGCTGAAGAAATTCCTGATCTCAGTTCTAAAGGGTTGTGCCTTCACTCTGAGGCTGTGCCCTTGTGTTCTAGTCTCTCCTGCAAGTGGAGACATCTTCTCTATGCCCACTCTATTCTGAGAGTTTCAATGAGATTCACCCTCATTATTCTAAACTCCAAGTACCAACCCAGAGTCCTCAACTGTTCCTCATGTGACAAGCTGTTTATCCCCAGGATCATTCTTGTAAACTTCCTCTGGACACCCTCCAAGGCCAGCAGATCCTTACTTAGAGATGGTGCTCAAAATTGCAATTGGGATATGACCAGAGCCTTATACAGTCTCAAGAGTACATGTCTGCTTTTGTATTCTATCCCTCTTGAAATGAATGCTATCATTACATTAGCATTCCTAACTGCCAAATGAACTTGCATGTTAACCTTAAAAGAATCCTGTACAAGGACTCCTAAGTCCCTTTGTGATTCAGATTTCACCATTATTTTTGGGATGTTAATTGTATCCTGTACAGTGAAGACAGATGCAAAATATCTGTTCAATTCATCTGCAACTTCCTTATACTCCATTATTAATTCCCTAGATAGCCTCTCTAGAGGAACCAATGTTCACTTTATTTATCCTTTTCGTTTCTAAATACCTGTTGAAACTTTTATTATTTGTTTTTACATTTCTGGTTGGGTTTTTCTCATACTCTAATTTCCCCATCCTTATTAATGTTAGTTATTCTTTGCTATTCTTAATATTCCATCCCATTTGCTGACCGTACACTTATCATTGCAGAATTATTTGCTTTCGGCTTGATATGCTAACTTTCTTAGTTAGCTACGGATGGTATGTGCTTCCCTTAGAATCTTGCTTTACCACAGCAATGCATTTTAGAACACTCAAAAATCTCTTTTATGGTGTGCCACGCTATATCTACTGACTTATTCCTTGACCTAATTTCCTAACTCACATCATAACCTCATGAATGTCCTTATTCAGGTTTAAAATATTCAACTGCGATGCACTCTTCTTTATCTTAAAATGAAAGCAAAATTATGATCATGTTTACTTAGGGGTACTCTTGGAAATCTTAACAATTTAGGCACCACATGCCTGAAATATCCTTGAAGATTTGGGTTCACTTGCTAGTTATTTAGTGTAATGGGACTTTAGGCCATTTATCTGACAAAAACTGGCTTATAGAACATATTTTCAACAAACAGAGATGAAAAATACTCAAAAGTCTGAACTTTTAAAAAGGCTAAACCATGCAGAATTAATTGGACAGTTAATGCTAGGAAAATAGGTTAAAGTCTTGTTCCTTATAGTTGTTAGCATTGGCGCAAAGCAAACTGAGTTTTCATAAACATTTCTCTTCTCAAGACATTTAATATGTGTTGACACAGGGAGATCCCAACACAATGCACAATACTCATTAACCAGATGTCCCCATTGCTTATTTGCATAGTCCAAAAGTTTCCCACCTGGTCCCCAAAAAGTAATTTAAATTTTTATAAACATTTTTCAAGTGCATTATTTACTTAGTAAGATGAAACAGTACAAAACCTGTATATATCATTTAAACCAAAGTTAAAATGAGTCCATATCAATACTGAATTTGTGATTAATTAATCTTTTCATTGCCTGGGGTAATATGTTAGGAACAATTGTTTTGCAATCTCATAAGTATTTCCCACAGGTTTGTCTGGATATTTTACTTTGTTGATGATAAATCCTTGCTCCACTTGAAAGACAATTTGATTGAAATAAGCTTGTTTGAAGGGAATTCTCTTCTCAAGACATTTAATAAGAGTTGATACAAAGAGACCCCAACGCAGTGCATAATAATCATTAACCAGACCACCCCACTGCTTATTTGCATAATCCAAAAGATTCCCACCTGGTCCCCAAAGAGTAATTTGACTTCGGGCATTGAACTCGTATAGTTCTGCTTCTTCCTCATTTGTTGCCAAGGACCGAGCTGTTTGTAACCAGCGGCCTACTATAAAGTGTCTGTCGCTGGACAAGAGACAGTCAAGTTGTGGTAGTAAATTATTCACTAGAACATTTCCTGAAGTACGCAGCCTGACAACAGAATGTTTTAAGAATGCATTCTTGAGGTCTTCATAAAATTCTGATACTAAGAGCTGAACAGATTGCCTTGTCACATCAACAAGGTCATATCTGAAAGTCTCACTAAAGAACAGATCAGAAGCAGCTGCTTGCATTAGCCTCCATGCTTCATAGACATCACTTTTATTATACCATAAAGAAGTATCCAGTTTCAAAGAGGGTCTGTGAACCAACGGACTTCTGTTATGATCTGGTTGATACGAAGTATTATTGTAGACACTTTGAAATAGCAGCAACCATGCAGCTACAGCATCGTCATTTTTCTTTCCATACCGTCTTTGTGCATATGACATAACCCATTCTGTGAGGTTTAAAGGTTCTTGGCACCAGCCAATTTCATTCATCAGCTCATACACAACATCATTCTGTTCAATTCCTTCTGGTGTTATTCCTGTGCCCACCATGGTAGAATGTGGGAAAGACCGAGCTTCAAAAGGACCTTTATTGATAGATTCTACTGTTCCGTACATTCCTATGTTGCCACCAAAATTATGCAACATGCACCATATAAAAGGTTGTCCATAGAAAGATTCAGTGAAGGAATATACCGGTTTATTGTCAGCAAATAAATCTAGAATAATCATCCTTCCCAACGGCACTCCTCGTAACAAAGCTTTGATTTGAGTTGGCTGCCAAAATGATGGTCTATTCACAAAGAGCCAACCTTGCATGAGCCAAATTGCCAAAGGGTCCACTGTGGGGAGACAAAGTATATTCAAGCAATAACATTTAATTATGCTGACTAACAACGACAACTTGTAAAGGAGTATTGCTCTACTGCAGTGAGATATATATTTTTCAAAAGTTCCAATGATTTTAATTCTGTAACACTTATTATTGCTTATAATAATTAAAGGGGTCAGAAGTATAATTTTTCTGTCTACAACCAGCACTATGACAAAATCATGAGAGGTATGGACAGGGTGGATAGCAAGAAGCTTTTTCCCAGAGTGGGGGACTCAATTACTAGGGGTCACGATTTCAAGGTGAGAGGGAAGAAGTTTAAGGGAGATATGCGTGGAAAGTTCTTTACGCAGAGGATGGTGGGTGCCTGGAATGCGTTGCCAGCGGAGGTGGTAGAGGCAGGCATGATAGCGTCATTTAAGATGTATCCAGACAGATACATTAATGGGCAGGGAGCAGAGGAACACAGAGGAAAATAGGTGACAGGTTTAGATAGAGGATCTGGATCAGCGCAGGCTTGGAGGGCCAAAGGGCCTGTTCCTGTGCTGTACTTTTCTTTGTTCTTGTTATTTGTATGACGGTGCTACGACTATGAAGTAATACCGTAAAAGGTATCTATGTTCTCACTGAATGGCAGTTTTTTGCTCCTATTTATTACGCTTTATGTTTTAGGTACACAGCACCTGCAAATGCTTTTTGACTCATTGCCACCGTTGCATTTTGGGACCCAGAGGAAGTCCCCACTCTAATACATGTTTAATATTTACCTAGAAAGTTCAAACTTCTAATGCAAAAGATTACATTGCCTGGACAATTTCATGAACACTGACAATAATGATCTTCATGTCAGTGAGCTTGATGCCTTATACTTGTGAACAAATTTACTCCATCCTTCTCCCGTTGCTAATGTCAGATGTAGGACAATGATCAGCAGTGGGTATATCAAGAAGTCCTAAAAGGACACTCCCTAGTTCCCCCAAAAAAATGTTCACCAATACACCTCCCCTCCCGAGAATGCTTCCCTTTCCTTTCCTGTTGCAGCCCTGACAACACTCATCTGCTGCATCCTTTGCAGACAACATTCAATTCCCACAACTCGAAACGCTCTCGCTGCCCATTTTCTTTCCAGACAATGCTCAGAAACCCCACCAGTAACAGTGATCATTGTATCGTAAGGTTTAGGATGACAGTAGAAAATGACATTGTTCAAACCACAAAAGAGAAATTCAGGGCAGAACAATCAGGAGTTTCTTGGATGATGAGACAGAAATTAGGTTCCAGAAGAAAAATAATGCTTATGACAGGTGTCAGGTGCTAAGTACAGTTGCAAACCAAGCTGAATACCAAATGTTCAGCAAAGAGCGGCAAAGCAAATAATGAGAAACAGAGAAAGATTAAGAAAAAAAGACTGGCACCTAACATAAAAGGATTTCCCAAGTCTTCTAAGTACATAAGTAGTAAAACAGTGGTAAAAGAAGGCGTAGGGCCGATTAGAGGCTAAAGAAAGTGATTTACAACACCGAGATAAGAGGCACAGCTGAGGTGTTAAATTAACACTGCATTTGTCTTTATCAAGATGCTTTTTGCTTTTTCTTGGCTCATAGCTTTTAAGGCCTTTAACAGGATAAATTGAAGCCAGGGATGATGTAGGTCCACTCCAGGACAAAAGGAGGAAATTTATGCGTGGAGCCAGAGGAAGTGAGTGAGCTTCTTAATAAATACTTTGCATCAGCCCTCATGAAGGAGAGGAACATGTTGGATGGTGAATTTCGGGAGGGGTATGTTGATATTCTAGGGCATGTCAACATAAAAAAAAGGTGATGTTAGGTGTTTTGAAAAGTATTAAGATAGACAAGTTCCCAGGACCTGATGGGATCTATCCCAGAATGCTAAGGGAGGCAGGTGAGGAAATTGCTGGGACCTTGTACGAAATCTTTGTATCCTCTTTAGTCACATGAGAGGTCCCAGAGGACTGCAGAATAGCCAACATTGTTCCTTTAAGTAGGGCAACAGCAATAATCCATGAAATTACAGGCCAGTAAGTATTACGTCGGTGGTAGGGAAATTATTGGAGAAGATTCTTAAGGATAGGATTTACTCACATTTGGAAAAAATGTGGATTTATTAGCAATTAGCAGCATGGCTTCGTGCCAAGAAGATTTAGTCTCAGAAACCTAATTGAGTTTTTTGAGGAAGTGACAAAGATGATTGATGAGGACAAGATGGAAGCTGTTATCTATATGGACTTTAGCAAGGCTTTTGACAAGGTCCCTCATGGCAGGCTGATACAAAAGGTGAAGTCACATGGGGTCCACATGGGAGCTGGTAAAATGGATACAGAACTGGCTTAATCATAGAAGACAGAGAGTAGCAGTGGAAGGGTGTCTTTCAGACTGCAGATCTCTGACCAATGGTGTTCTGTAGGGATCAGTACTGGGACCCCTGTTGTTTGTAATATATATAAATGATTTGGAGGAGAATATAGATGGCCTGTTTAGTAAGTTTGCATTTTGAGAGATCAAATGCAGTAGGGAAATGTACAGTAATGGCAGAACCCTTCATTGTATCAACATACACAGGGATCTACACAGGTTTCTGAAAGTGGCAACACAAGTGGAAAAGGTGGTCAAGAAGGCATACCGCATATTTGCCTTCATTGGTCAGGGCATGGGGTATGAAAATTGGCAAATCATGTTGCATCTGTATAGAAAACTTTAGGCCACTTTAGTTAGGCCACATTTGGAATATTGTGTATATTTCTGGTCACTGCATAACCAGAAGGATGTGGAGGATTTGGAAAGGATACAGAAAAGGTTTAGCAAGATGTTGCCTTTTTTGGAGGGTGTTAGCTATGAGGAGAGATTGGACAAACATGGTTTGTTTTCACTTGAACATCACAGGCTGAGGGGCGACCTGATATAAGTTTACAAAATTATGGCAAGCGTAGATATAATGGATATTTGGAGTCTTTTTCCAAGGTTAGAATTAATACTGGACATAGGACAATAGCAACATTTAAGAGGGATCTTGACAGGTATATGAATAGACAGGGAATAGAAGGATATGGGCAGTGTAGAGGCAAAAGGTTTTTAGTTTAGAAAGGCATCATGTGTCGGCACAGTATTGGTGGACCGAAGAGCCTGCTCCTGTGCTGTACTGTTTTCTGTTCCTGTTCTTAGGGTCAGGGACCCACCACAAAAGTGACATCATAGGAAAACCAGAAGTTCATTGGTTGATAATAGGTGCTAATCTGACTATAATAAATTGCTTTCAGATGAATAGGTAAATGGAAGAAAGATTTTACAGATTAAAAACTAAAAGACCAATAGGAAATTTCAAAATATCAGAACTAAGTACCTGTAAATAGAGATGCAGGGTCAGGCAACATGTTGTAGCTGTATTGTAACATGTTGCTAATATATATGTAAATGATTTGGAGGGGAATGTAGGTCGACTGATTAGTAAGTTTACGGATGACACAAAGATTGGGGGAGCTGTGGATAGTGAGGAGGATTGCCAGAGGATACAGCAGGACATAGAAAAGCTGGAGACTTGCGCACAGAAACGGCAGATGGAACTTAATCCGGACAAATGCAAGGTGATGCATTTCAGTTGGTCGAAGAGACTGGCAGCTAACATAAAAGGAAATTCCGAGTCTTCTGTAAGTGCAAAAATAGTAAAAGGGTGGTAAAAGGAGGCATTGGGCCGATTAGAGGCTAAAGAAAGGGGTTTACAACTTAGAGACAGTAGGCATAGCTGAGGCGTTAAATTAACACTGCGTCTGTCTTTACCAAGATGCTTTTTGCTTTTTTTTATTGGTTCATTGTTTGTAAGGCCTTTAACAGCAGCGAAGTATACAGCAGAACCCTCAGTGGCATCAATACAGAGGAATCTAGGCATACAAGTCCATTTGTTCTCTAAAAGTGGCAACACAAGGGGATAAGCTGATCAAGAAGGTGTACTCATGGTTGCCTCCATCATTTGGGACACCTGTTGCAGCTGTATAGAACTTTAGTTAGGCCACATTTGGAATGTTGTGTACAGATCTGGTCACATTACCGGGGATGTGGAGGCTTTGGAGAGCACAGGAAAGGTTTACCAGGATGTTGCCTGGTTTGGAAGGTGTTAGCTATGAGGAGAGATTGGACAAACCTAATTTGTTTTCACTTGAACGTCAGAGGCTGAGGAGTGACGACAGCAGTTTACAAAAGTATGAGAGGCACAGATAGAATGGATGGTTGAGTCTTTTTTCCCCAGGATAGAAATGTCAATTACTAGAAGACTAGGTTTAAGGTAAAAGGGAAAATTTATAGAAGTTGAGAGAGGCAAGTTTTTTGTTAACATAGAGGGTAGTAAATCCCTGGGGTCTGCCGGAGGAGGTGGTACAAGCAGATACAATAGGAACATTTAAGAGGCATCTTGACAGATACATGAATAGGCAGGGAATAGAGGAATATGGACTGCATAGGTGCAAAAGGTTTTTAGCTTAGAAAGTATTATGTTACAGCAGGGTTGGTGAGCCAAAAGGCCTGTTCCGAGCTGTCCTGTTCTTTGTGCTTTGCATGATGTGGGAGTTGGTCGACCAGCTGATGTGGTTTGAGTGACTACACCTGTAGCAAGTATTGATTGCTTGAGAAACTCCAGCTTCGACTTGATAAACTAGAGTTCAACCTGCAAACACTCTGACACATCAGGGAGGGCGAAAGAGTTACCTGGACGCTTCTGTTTCAGGAGGCAGTCGCACCCCTTAGATTACTACTTCAGAATTCAATCAATGGTCAGGGTCAGGAGGCTGTGACTATGAGTGAGCCAGATAGAGTGATTCAGGAGGGAGTGCTGCGGGAGCCTCAGCACTTGAGCTTGTTTTTCAGAGTTTGAAATTCTTGGTCCCTATGAGAAAGAATGCAGGGGCTGTAAGGAGATGAGCAAACTGTCATTAACACCATAGTGAGTACTGAGGGTGATTCGGAGGTTGAGGGGGAGTAATGTACTTGTAATTGGGGAACAGTACAATCAGGATGGCATGGTGGCTCACAGCGCCAGGGACCCGGGTTCAAATCCAGCCTCGAGTGACTGTTTGCACATTCTCTCCGCGTCTGTGTGGGTTTCCTCCCATGTCCAAAGAGGTGCAGGTTAGGTGGAGTGGCCATGCTAAATTGCCCATAGTATCCAGGAATGTGTAGGTTAAGTGGATTAGCCATGGGAAATACAGGGTTTTAGCACAGGGTGGAAGAGTCTGGGTGGAATGCTCTTCGGAGAGTCGGTGTGGACTTGTTGGGCCAAATCACCTGTTTCCACACTGTAGGAATTCTAAGATAGAGTCAGGGGAATACATGCTGTTCTCTGTGGCCAGGATTGAGAGTTCTGAAGGCTGTGTTGCAAGTCTGGTACCCAGGTTCAGGGTCTCTCATCTGGGCTGCAGAGGAACTTGGAGTAGGAGGGGAAAGATACAATTGTCATGTATACATAGGTACCAATAATATAAGTAGAACAAGAAATGAGCTTCTGTTGAAGAAATATGAGCAGGACTAACTGAAGAGCAAAACCAAAAGAGACAATAATTGCCAGGTACTAAAGCCTCAAACTAACCGGCACAGATTTAAAGAGGTAAGCGAATGGCTCAAAGATTGGTGTGGGAGGGATGGGTTCAATGTCATGGGGCATTGGCACCAATACTGGGGAAGGAGGGAGCGATTTGGATGGGACGGGCTCCACCTGAATCATGCTAGGACTAGACTCCTGGCAAATCTCATAACTAGGGCTGTGGACAGGGCTTTAAACTAGATTATGAGTGGGGTGCATTGGAAAGGAAATAATAGCAAAACATTTGGAAAATCATAATCTAATTAAGCAGAGTCAGCACAGCTTCACGAAAGGGAAATTACGTTTAACAATATACTAGAATTTTTCGAGGAAGTCTCAACCAGAGTGGATAGAGGGGAACCAGAAGCTGTGTTATATTTAGACTTCCAGAAGGCATTTCACAAGATACCCCTCAAATGGTTAAGTTATAAGAGTCTATGGTGTTGGAGGCAGTATATTGGCATTGATAGAGAATTGGCTAATGGGCAGAAAAGAGCAAGTGGTGAAAAGGGATTTTTTTCAGATTGGCGACCCATGACGAGTGTGATTCCACAGGAATCAGTCCTGAGTCTGCAACTGTTTATACTATACATCAATGACTTAGAGAAAGGAAGTGGATGTACTGTAGCCAAATTTGCAAGTGATACAAAAATAGGTGGAAAGGCAGGTTGTGAGAGGGATACAAACAGTTTAAGGTAGATATTGATAGGTTAACTAAGTGGGTTAAAAGCTGGCAAATGGAGTATAATGTTGGAAAATATAAAGTTATTCATTTTGGAAGACAGAAGAAAAGAACATAATATTATTAAAATGGAGACAAACTGCAGAAATCTGCAATACAAAGGGATTTGAGGTTACTTGTGCATGAAACACAAATGTTAGCACACATGTGCAGCAGGTAATCAGGTTAATGGAATGTTGCCCCTATTGAAGTATAAGAGTAATAGAAATCTTACTGCAATTCTATAATGTGTGAGTGAGATCATCTCCAGAGTATTGTGAGTAGCAGTTCAGAGGATGTTCACTAGGATGATCCTCATTTTGGAAGGATTGTCTTATTAGCAAAGGTTAAACAGGTTTGGACTCTACTCACCGGACTTTTGAAGAATGAGTGGTAATCTCATTGAAACATATAGGATTCTTAAGAGTCTTGACAGGGTAAATGCTGAGAGAATGTTTCCCCTAATGGGAGAGTCTAGGCCCAGAGGGCACAGTCTTAGAATAAAAAGTAACCAATTTAAGACTGAGGTGAGGAGGAATTTCATCTCTCAGAGGGTTGAATATCTTTGGCACTCCTTGCCACAGAAAGTTGTGGGGGCAGATATATTTAAAGCTGAGACAGAGTTCTGATCAGTGGGGGAATCAACGGTTATGGGGAAAATGCAACAAGTGGATATGAGAAATGTTGGATCAGTCACATGAACGGTGGAACAGGCTAAATAGCCTACTGCTGATCCTATTGCTTATGGTCTTACAGATTTAAGGGGTTGGTGCAAGAGAATTAGAGAGACACAAATTTTACATTCTTGCTTTAAAAAAGTTGTTAAAATCAGCCCAGCAATTACAGACCAGTCAGTTTAACTTTAGTAGTGGGGAAACATTTAGAAATAATAACTTGGAATAGAATTAATAGTCACATAGAAAAAAGTCACTTGTGGACTGAAGAGTCAACATGGATTTGTTAAGGTAAATAAGTAGCTGATTAACTTGCTGAAGAGGTGATGATGTAAAAGAGAGGGTTGTTAACGGGCAGGCTGTAAGGTGCATGGACGTCCAAAGCCCATTCAAGTAAGGCTGCATGACAGATTTGAGAAGAAAGTCATAGGTCATAGTATAAAAGGATATCAGCAAACTGGATACAAATTGTCTGAGGGTTAGGAAACAGAGAATAATGGTTAATAGTTTTTTTTTAGGCTGGAAGGGGTTTGAAGTAGTGTTCTGCAGGTGTCTATATTGGGACCATTGCTTTTCCTGATACATATGAAAAATCTAAATCAGCATGGATTGATTGGGTGGAATTGCCTTATCTATGTTGTATATCCTGTATAAATCAATGAGTTACAAATCTGACCCTGAAGAGACTGAAATTCTCATGCTGCAAAAAGGGCTGAAATAAAATCTTATTGAAATTTTGAAGATTGAGATCTGTGGCTAAACAAATGCAATTAAATTCTAACCAGAAGACGAGAATTAAAAACAAAAAAAAACCTGCCTCACTCAACAGGTAGTGCAGCACCTGGAGAGAGAAACAGAGTTAACCATTCAAGTCGATAACCATTCATCAAAATCGAGGAGAGACAGAAATGAAAAAGGTTTGCGCAACAGATTGAGAGGAAGGGCAAGTAAGAACAAACTAAAAAAGGTGTGGTGTCAAGGTGCTGGTGTTGGACTGGGGTGGACAAGGTCAGAGATCACATGACAGCAGGTTATAGTCCAACAGGTTTATTTGAAAACACAAGCTTTTGGAGTGTAGCCCCTTCATCAGATGAAGTGAGAAAGAAGCACACAGAATTTATAAATAAAAGATCAAAGGGTCACACAACTGATGAGGATGTATTAAACAAACCTAAGATGCTGTTAAATCTTTAATCAGTTAGAAGGTTTTAATTAATTAATAAGTATGTAGGAGAGACTAGTTGTCATATTTTATTGGTACAAACATCAAAAAAAGTGGCAAATACTTAAAAATAAAGAAACAGAAGTTGTATCTGGATGAGGCATGAATGTCTGGATAGTAGTCATCCAAATGTAAAGACAATGGGCAAAGAGGTAATGCTGCTCTTTAGCTTGCATGGAGTTTCATTGGCTTCAACCACAGTTCCAGCATTATCTATTTTTATTTCAGGTTTCCACCACTGGAAGTATTTTGCGTTTGTACTGCCATAGAATAAAGCTCAGAATAGGGAAGGTGATCAAATATTTCAAATTTGATAACCTTGATCTTCTCCCTATTCTGGCCAGGTGGGGTCAGAAATGTGTGACACTGGTCTTTAGCCTCATTCATCTTTATTTCATGCAGGTTTCCTGCCAGATGATGTGCATCACCCACTATATACAATGTGTTGAATCTTAGCAACACCAGGTATAAATGATACTTTTGTAGTCTGATCAGTGTTGCTTTGGGGATGAAGCAAGAATTTAATTCAGATTGATCAATTCTAGAGACAATATTGCTAAAAGCAATGTATTAAAAATGTATTTTTAAAAATACACACCAGCAAACATCACTGGCAATATTCGGCTGCAAAAAAACTGATCCATGGAGTATTTCCAACTGTGGAATCAACTACCCAGGGCAACAGTAAAGGTTTTTGGTAAATTCTGTACTTACTTTTTACTTTTTGACAGAATTGTGTGAACAAGGATACAAACGACTGAGTGGGTATATTTTGAATTTTGACAGACAGAACATGGATGGTCATTTTTGGTTCTACGTATAGACAATTGAAGTAGTAGCTGTTTTAAGAAAAAATAAATGCAAATGAACTAAGAATAAGCCCATAAATGGACAGCATTTCTCAACCTTAGCAGAAACATCTTGATTATATATCAAGAGAAAAGTTAGTTGAATAATAGCTTCCATTTGTAAGACAAACATTCTGAAGATATTATTTGGAAAACCTTACCTTGCGTCATTGATTTGAAGACTGCATTGCTCACAGTGGATAAATATTTAGGGTCAGAAGAGCTTGGGACCATTTCATTAAATGTATCTGCACTGTAAATATGGTTAGTACCAAATTCTTTTATTAGTTCAGACAGAAACGTCATGCCTATTTGCTGAAAGAGTGGAGACTTGGCATCCAGCAGAAAAGAACAAGAGTAAGAACAGTTCAAATGTCCCCAGCTCCCTAGCCTAGTGATGTTTACTTTGGGAAACAATCTGAAATATAAAAGAAAAAGTTTTTAAAAGGATGACCTTTTACTGCAGCATAAAGACATTTGAAACAAGGGGTCACCTCTTCCACTTGGACTGTATTCTGGCATAGCAGATTATCTTTTCTGTAGAAACAAAAACAGAAATTGCTGGGAAAACTCAGCAGGTCTGGCAGCACCTGTAGAGAGAAAGCAGAGTTAACGTTTCAGGTCCAGTGACCCTTCTTCAAAATTGATTGTAGCTAGGAAAAGGTTGGTATATATGCTGAAGATGGGGTGGCGGGAAGTAAAGAATAATTGGAGATGAAGCCCAGACAAAGGAACAGTCACCTTGGGGGAAATCAATAGCTGCTAATGGGGACCATTAGTGGCTGACAATGGATTTTCTGTGGTAGCAGCCCATGTGATGACAAGGTCTGGTTTGTGTGAGTTGGGGTAAGGACATGGCAGAAGGTGCTCAGGCCCTAAAACTCTTGAACTCAATGTTGAGTCCCGAAAGCTAAAGAGTCCCCAAGAGGAAAATGAAATGTCGTTCTTCCATTTTGCCCTGAGCTTCGCTGGATCACTGCAGCAAGCCAGGGACAGATATGTTAGCCAGGGAACATGTAGTTAGTTGAAGTGGCAGGCAACCAGAAGCTCAGGGTCATTTATGCAGACAGAATGTAGGTGTTCTGCAAAGCGGTCACCCAGTTTGCATTTTGTCTCCCCAAGGTAGTGAAGACCACACTGTGAGCAGTGAATACAGTAGACTACATTGAGTAAAGCGCAGGTAAATCACTGCTTCACCTGGAAGGTGTGTCTAGGGGCCTGTATACTGAGGAGTGAGGTAGTAAATGGGCAGCTCGTACACGTTCTGCGATTGCATGTAAAGGTGCCATGGGGGTATGGGGAGTTGTTGGGAGTGGAGAAGTGGTCCAGGGTGCTCCAGAGGGAACAGTCATTGCAGAAGGCTTACAAGAGAGGGAAGTGGTATGTGTGTTTAATGGTGGCACCTCACTGGAGGTGGCAGAAATGGCGGCCAAATGATCCTTTGGATGTGGATGCTGGTGGGGTGGTAAATGAGGGCCCTATCACTGTTGTGCACGGAAGAAAAGGGGTTTAGGGCAGAAGTACAGCAGATGGATAGGACATGGCTGAGAGCCCTGTCATCCATGGTGGTGGGGAATCGTTGGTTGAATCCCCTCCATAGATGCTGCCAAATTCTCATTCCATCGATTACAGTGGATGGCTGATCCATCGCATTAGATTACAGCTGGTGTATTGATGGAAGTTAACTCTTTAATCTATGGAGCAAATATCAGAAACCAAATGACTTTATACCCTAATCTAGTGATTCACTCTCACAACAGCCCTGCTTCATCCACTGATTCAAAAATAGGAACCTAGGAACTGGAGTAGGTCAGTCAGCCTGTTGAGCCGGCTCCGCCATTTAATAGTGTAGTGTAGTCTAAGGATCTTTGGTGAATTTCTTCAGTGCACCTCACAGATAGTAGACACTGCTGTTACTGAGTGTTAGGGAGGAGGGAGTGGATATTTGTGGATGTGGTGTCAATCAGTTGGGCTACTTTGTCCCAAATGGTGTCAAGCTTCTTGAGTATTGTTGGAGCTGCACCCATCCAAACAAGTGGGGAATATTCCACCATATCCCTGACTTGTGCCTTGTAGATGGTGGACAGTCTGTGGGGAGTCAGGAGGTGACTTACTTGCTGCAATAATCCTAGTCTCTGATCTGCTTGTGTAGATACCGTGTTTATGTGACAAGTCCAGTTGAGTTTCTGGTTATGGTAACCCCATGGATAGTGATAGTGGGGAATTTAGCGATGGTAACACCATTAAATGTTACGGGGCAGTGTTAGATTGTCTCTTATTGGAGAACATCCCTATTTCTGGCCTTATGATGGAGGGAAACTTATCGATGAAGCAGTTGAAAATGGTTGGGTACCCTGGGGAACATCTGTAGAGATGTCGTTGGAGCTTAGATAACTGACCTCCAACCACAACCGTCATCCTATGTGCCAGGTACAACTCCAACTAGTGGACAGTTTGCCCCCGATACCCACCGATTCCAGTTTTGCTGAGGCTCCTTGCTGCCACACTCAGTCGAAAGCAAACTTGAAGCAAATACTTCTCATGTGTTGAGCTCTTCCATCATTGAGGATAGGGATATTTGTGCAGCCACCTCCACCAATGGAGTTGTTTAATTTTCCACCACCATTCACGGCTGGATGTGGCAGGACTGCACAGCGTAGATCTGATCTGAGATTGCTTAGCTCTGTTTATGCTGTTTGCATGCAGGTAGTCCTGTTCGTTAACTTCACCAGGTTGACAGCTCATTTTTAGGTATGCCTGGTGCTGTTCCTGACATGCCCTCCTGCACTCTCCACTGTCACTAGGGTTGATTCCCTGGTTTTATGATAATGGTTGAGTGGGTGATATGTCAGGCCATGAGTTTGCAGATTGCGCTGGCACACAATTCTGCTGTTGTTCATGGCCCACAGTGTCTCATGGATGCCTGTCTTGAGTTGCTAGATCTGATCAAAGTCCATCCCATTTGGCATGGCAATACTACTACACAACACAATGGAGGTAGTCTCAATGTCAAGCTGGGAGTTCATCTCCAAAAGGAATGTGGTGGTCACTTTTACCAATACGGTCATGGACAGATGAATCTGCAGCCAGCAGATTGGTAAGGATGAGGTCAAGTATTATGAGGTCAAAAATATTAAAAGGGCCAGTCAGTTGAAGAGCAGTGGCAAATGCTTAGGGAGATGCTAAATACCTCTCAGTTAAAGTATATTCCTGACAGGAAGAGGAATTGTGAAAAGGTGAAAAATCATCCATGACTGAACAAAGAAAAGGATAACAAAAGGCAAAAACGAGGGCATATCATAATGCAAAAGTTAGTGGCATTCTGGAGGATTGGGAGGACTTTAAATGTCAGCAAAGGGTTACTAAAATTGAAATCAAAAGAGCTATGATGAACTATGAAAGGAAATTAGCAGAAAACATCAGCACCGATACCAAAGGTTTCGACAAGTATATAAAAAGAAAGAGAATAGGCAAAGTAAATGTTGGCCCTTTGGAGGATGAAAATGGTTAGGTAATAGTGGGAAATTCAGAAATGGCACAGGCACTATCTTGTCTCTCTTAGTTTGACCTCTGTAGTGGGGAAGTTGCTGGAGTCAATCATAAAGGAGAAGATAACTGAACACTTGGAAGAGCAAAGCTCAAGTGTCAGCACGGTTTCATGAAGGGCAAGTTGTGCTTGACAAAATTGCTGGGGTTCTTTGAGGATGTAACCGGCGAGGTGAATAATGGGGATCTGTTGGATATGGCGTATCTAGACAGATGACATTTGGCAAGGTGCTGTATAAAAGACTGATCCAGAAAATTAGATCCTGGGGGGTTAGGGGTAGAGTAAAGGCTTGGGTAGAGGATTGACTAGTTGGCTGACTGACAGACAGCAGATGATCAGGATAAATGGCTCCTTCTCTGGATGATGAATTATAAGTAATGGGGTGCCACAGGGTTCAGCTCTTGGACCTCAACTATTTACTATCAATATCAATGATCTGCAAAGAGGCACACAGTGTAACATAGCAAAATTTGTGGATGATACTAACGTAGATGGGAAAGCAGCTGTGATGAGGAGATACAGAGTTTACAGGTAGATATCGATAAGGCGAGGAAAATGGTCCAGAATCTGGCAGATGGAGTTTAATGTGGATAAGTGTGAGGTTGTCCATTTTGGCTAGAAAAATATAAGAGCAATTATTATCTAAATGGGAAGCAGATTCAAAGTGCACCAGTGCAGAGGGATCTGGGCATTTTGCCAGGATTTCATTTGCCTTTCTTATTATTTGCTGTACCTGCATATCTACTTTCTGCAATTCATGCACATTTATTGCAAAAGGACTGGATTATAATAGTATACAAATGTTGTTACAATTCTTTAATGCATTGGTGAAACCACACCTGGAATATTGTGTCCAGACTTGCTTTCCTTACTTGAGGAAGAATGTAGTGGCACTGGAAGCAGTTCAGAGGAGGACCACCAGATTGATTCCAGGGCTGAAACGGCTGTCGTACAAGGAGCAGTTGAATAGCTTGGGCTATTCACTGGAGTTCAGAAGAATGAGGTGGGTATTTGACTGAGTTATATAAAATGCTAAAGGGGAGTGATAAGGTGGGTGTCGAGATGTTCCCCCTTGTGGCCCTCTCTCAAACTAGAGATCATAAATATAGAATGAGAACAGCTAAGTCAAAACTGAGATGAGAAGAAACTAGGGGTGGCATGGTGGCACAGTGCCAGGGACCCAGGTTCGATTCCACCCTCAGGCGACTGTCTGTGTGGAGTTTGCACGTTCTCCCCGTGTTTGTGTGGGTTTCCTCCGGGTGCTCTGGTTTCCTCCCACAGTCCAAAGATGTGCAGGATAGGTGGATTGGCCGTGGAAAATTGCTTGTAGTGTTGAGGGATGTGTAGATTAGGTGGGTTATAGGGGGATGAGTCTGGGAGGGATGCTCCGAGAGTTGGTGTGGACTTGTTGGGCTGAAGGGCCTGTTTCCACACTGTAGGGATTCTACGATCTATGATGATACTTCTCTCAGAGGGTTGTTAATCTGTGGAACTCACTGCTCAGAGTGCAGTGGAGGCAAAAATCAGTCAACAGATTCGAGAAAGAAATAAATATGTTTCTGATGAAAAGCGGGATAAAGGGTTTCAGGGAACAGGCCATAAGATCAGCCATGATTATGTTAAATGGTGGAGTGGGCTCAAACAGCTGAATTGCCTACTCTGTTCCTACGTATGTTTTTCCCTCTTGTTGGTTCCCTCACCATCTACCACAGACCCAATCTAGCAGCTATGTCCTTTAGGACCTGACCAGCCTGATCAGTACTCCTGCTGCCAAGCCACATTTGGTGGCAGATATTGCAATCTTTCACTCAGAGTGCATTTAGCACCCTTGCCACTCTCAGTGCTTCCTCCAAGTGTTGTTCAACATGGAG